TTCCAAGGGTGGAAGACTAAGGACTCCGCATGCACCTTGCTGATGTGCTTTCCTTCTCTCGTTTGACTTGCGGAGTCAGAAACCTCAAAGTCTTCTTATTTGTCCTTCAAACACACCAGCCTTTATCTACCTGGAGGGAATAATGCATCCCAAAGTCTAGGGTTACCTGTGTTTGCACATAGGTACATTATGAATTCATGCTAGCTCTGTTCCCTAGATAGACCTTCTCTCCTCAAAGTGGGTGGGCGGACTGGCATGAGATGGGACCTGTCCACCTCCCAGACCCACTGTGTTAGCTCTTGGCCCCCACGAAGCACACACCAAGGCGGGACCTGCTGTGTGACAGGTTTGTTGGGAAGACACCAGAAGAGGGAAACAGAGCGAGAGGAGGCTGTGGTGCCAACCTGGCCCCGTGGAGGAAGACAGGAGGGCGGAGGGCCGGGAGGATGGACTTCAGAGCCACTCTCGGGCAGGCCCTGTGGGGTCCTGCAGCCCATGTCCCGTGCCACGGAAGTTCACGCCGCACCGGAGCCTCTGCCGGACTCTGCTGCCTCCGGTCGCGGGCCTGAGAGCCACCGTGGAGGCTGGGCTTCAGCGCAGGTGGGGTTTCAGACCCTGGCACCTGAGAGGGTCTCAGGCTGGCTCACAGGACAGGAGACTGCCTGGCGGGGTTCCTGGCCACCCCCCCCTCCCCCCCGCTGAGTCAGGATCTGCACCACCCCCCCAACCTTCAGGTGATTCTAACTCTGAGAAGCACTGTCCCCAGATAATAACTGGACACTTTGGGGATCCTGTCCAGAGTCAACAGAATGTGCATAATCATCCTCGCATCTCTTCAAACACTCAGATCTCTCATGATGATTTTCTTCACGGTTCATTTGAATGGAGTTGCTGTGCGAAGTGAGAACTAGAGCAGATAATTGTTGTTGTTAATATGTAGCAAATGCGCGAAGCAGATTCGAGGCCAAACAGAATTTCCAAGATGCTTTGCCTCTTTGCTGTGAGACGCTAGATATAATTTACTTGCTTTTGCCTTTCGGGGTTCCAGGTCCAGTAGCAAAGAATTGTGTGTGTCGGCATCTCCTGTCTACCACCTGGTGATGTGCAGCTATGATTCTATGGCGGCAGCTGGACATAAACAGTCGGTTAGACAGTCTTACTGGGTTCCATCTGCTGAGCCCATGTCTCGTGTCTGGGGCTCTCTTTAGGACAGAGTGACCACCCAGTAAGCTTGGCCACAGGACCTTGTCACTTCATTTGTGGACTGTCCATGACTTCAAGATGCACACACGCTCGTGTGTGATAAGGATATCCCACAATCCCCATGGATCATCCAGTGACCCCAGGCTGCAGTCCAGGGGCTGGGCTCCTGCCTGGGAAAAACAGCATTTCCTCTGTGTATAGTCAGGCCTTGAATCAGTGCTTTTCAAAGGCCCCCAGGTGATGAAATCCAAGCAGGTTTGGAATCCACAGCCTGCCCCATCGAAGCAGTGTGGCGGGGGCATGACGCACGGTCTGGGGGGGCGTGACGCACGGTCTGGGGGGCGTGACGTGTAGACTCTGGCGGGGGCGTGACGCACTCCACACGCCAACCACCACTTGTCTTCGCTTCCCGAGAGCAAGGTCCCTTCGTTTCCTTACTCCGCAGACACCCGCTGAACAGCCCGAGTTCCAGGCAATCCTACATCACAGGTGGGAAAATAGTTAAGACTTAGTCCTTGACCTCGAGGAGTTCGCAGACCTCGTGGTGTAGACACGCGTGCAAATAATGCAGTACACTGCCTGTTGCAGGTGTGGGCGCGGCGGGGTAGGCTGGGCCGGACCCGCAAAGGACCGGAGGAGAGGGCCTGGGACCCCTGGGACTCCAGTCACTGCCGCCCTAGCCAGCTGTGTCGGGATCCGACTGCCTGCAGCTGGCTGGGCTCCGCTGAGACGCAGCTCTGCGTTCATCCCACGCCTGCTCTCCACCTGTGCTCCTGATTGGTGGCGAGTCCCCACTCGGACAGGCTCCCGGCGGTCCCCTGGGCAGCTTCCTTCCCTCTCTCCCCTGGTGCCCAGGAGTCGCTGTCGCGTCCCTCTCGGTGACCTGCCCCTGCCCGCCCAGGGAGCACGGCCAGCGTGTTGCCGCAGACACGCCCCGAAGCCCGGCATCTGCTGTCGTCCCCTTTCGGGCAGGTCTCCCGTGTTGAGACTTGCCTCTTCCAGTCCCTCCTCCCAGTCAGTGGAAAATTCCCTCCTTCCTGCAGGGCAGTGTCTGGACTGCCATGTGTGTAGTTTACCAGTGCTGATGCCCCGGCGGTGTGGTCAGTGGGTGGAGCGCTGTCCCGTGGACTGAGGTCCCGGTTGATTCCCGGTCAGGGCGCACGGCCAGGTTTGAGCTCGATCCCCAGTAGGGGGCGTGCCGGAGGAGCTGATCGATGCTTCTCTCTCTCATGGATGTTTCTCTCTCTTCCTTCCTCTTTCTCAAAAAAAAAAAAAAATCAATAAAAACATATTTTTAAAAAGTAAGAGCGCCAGTGCGTCAACCCCACCGCCTGATTTCAGGTCCTCGCTCCACCGCTGACCAGCTGTCCCGGCCAAGTCAGCGAGCCTCCCCGTGTCTCTGTCCTCGGCTGGAGGAAAGGGCTGGGGATGGACTGTCCGCCGTGGGCTAGTGTGCGGCTTCCTGAGTTACGGCTTCACCTGTGAGTGGGCAGCAGTCCCGGCACAAAGTAACCCACGGTGGTCGTCACGGTGGGTGTGTGCCAGACCGGGACACCTCACCTCCAGGGACTGACCGTCGGGGTGGGGGGGAGGGGAGAGACAAACAGGTAAACAAATCACTTCCTGTGATCAATGCTATATTAGTTAGGGAGTCAGAGAGAAAACTATCAAATCTTACTGCCTAAAAATGTTGTTGAAATTTTCATTTTCTGGAAGACACAGTAACTCAAGTTCCCAAATGCACGCTCTGACTTGGGGCCTCCCCAAACCACACGCTTCCCATGCACGACACTGCGTGTGCATGAGTTTGTTCTTATGAACCTTGACAGTGACCACGAGATGCTGTTCCAGTGCGTGCAGACGCTCAGGCCCGTTCTCGGGAGCAGTCTGAAAACAGAGAAACTGGGCACTGAGCCTGCAAAAGGGGAAAGAGATGAACCACAAAGGAGAAGCGGGCAGGAGAGCCCAGGGAGAAGAAAGGCAGCGCGGAGACAGACCCTGCCCGCGGGCTGGGCGGATGTGGGCTGCGGACACGGAGGAGCTGGCGGTGGGGGTGGGGCTGCAGCGCGGCTTGTCGCCTGCCGTCCAGCCAGTCCATTTGCACATGGCGCAGTGGCCTCGGGAGAAGGCTGGATGACAAGTGCTGTTCTTGTCTCGGTGGCGGGCAGTGTTTCCTGATGTCACCTTCATCTAGAACATGCTGCCTTTTCTTCCCGTTTGCTGAATGTAAAATACCATCGGGAGTTTCCTACCTGTATCACTTCTCTCTCTCTCTCCATCCTGTTTTCTGCGGAATCCAGCCTACAGCTATAAAACCACAGGGTTTCAGATCTCCTTGATTTCTTTACCTGATTTAATGAATAATGGGTTAACACACCAGTTTGGTTCATAGTACCTCTAAAGTGCCTGCATATTCTAAATATTCTCCCTATTTTCATGTTTGCCCAGATTGTACCTGTTCTGGTATTACATTGTTTTACGGGCTGAGATAAACGGTTCGATGTGGCCAACTTGACCATCACGGATGATTATGTGCCACATACTAGAGGACAGCTCCTCGGTCACCTTCCCTGTCCAGCTCAGTTAGGTGACTCCTGTCCCCATTGACCCTGCACATTCCTCTCTCTTTATCTGTTTCACTTATTTGTACCTTCAAACAAAGTGTGAGCACTTTAGCCTTGGTGGCAAGGGTCGCGGCAGGCCCTGCTGAGCAGGAAAGACCAGCACCAGTACAGACCAGCTGGTTTTCGTGATGGGAGGGAATGAGTGCTGTCCTTTTACACACATCACTTCCCAATTCCTGGGCTGTGCTCAGCAGTGCAACAGTAACCAGCTGAATTATTCAGCTACGGGCCCTTCAGAAATAAGGTACAATACAATACAATAAGAAATAAAATTTAGCAGTGGAATTCCTAGTAACCTAATTCTAAAGACTTTCATCTGCAAACCAGCTGTCTTTCTGAAGAAGGCCCCGCCCTTCCTCCGAGGCCTGGCCCTGTTACCTGGTTGCTGACTACTCAGCAGCCCGCAAGAGGGGCAGGTCTGCCGCAGGAGACAGCGGGGGTTCTGCCTCAGCTGACTGTAGTCCGAGGCCCTCACCTCAGCAGTAGACCATGCTCACCTCAGTTCTGAGAGATGCTAAGACGCTGGCAAAGGGGTGGTGCAGCCAGGGAAAAGGGTTGCCATATGTCTAGTCCCTGAGTGCTCATCTCTCTGTTCACAGCACTTGACTGATGATACATGCTTGTGTAATAAGCAAATGGTAGACATAAATCAACACTGGAATGGTCATGTGAGCCACCCAGCTCATGCAGTGTCGACCAAGTGCGAGGGCCTTCTTCTTTGCACGCGACAAGTCATCAGAAGCAGGAAAGACTGCAGGCAGAACAGGAAGTGGCCGGAACGGCTGGCCTGGCACCTGAGGCCTCTGTGTGGCCGGGGACTGCCCATCGTGCGATGGCTCTCGGCCACAGGTCAGAGTTGGGCCCTAGGACCTTGGCCCAGTGTGTCGCAGCCTCCCCCTGCAGGTGCCCCAGAATTGCTGCCCTTGGCCAGTGTCCGAGGCTTACACAGCTGCCAGACGAATGGGGTCCCCCACTCCCTCAGCAAATAGGGGATGCGAGCTGGTTCGCCACCATCGCTCTGCCCCTGGGCTGCAGAAGCTGCCGACGTGGTGAGGAGCCCTGCCCTGTGCGCTTTTCTCCGAGAGGGGTGAATATCTGTAGGGCCCTCCCATGCGGGCGGCGAGGAGTCCTGCTCCTACAGAGCTGGCTTCAGCTTCTCCCCTGCCTCCCCAGACAGCAAGGACTGCATCCTGGACGCTCTTTCCCTGCCGGACAGCCCCGGTGGCTCCCGCTCCTTGGAAGAGGCGCCGGCCGTGCCTTGTGTCTTCTGTGAAGAGCACTTTCCTGTGGCTCAGCAAGACCAGCTCCTGAAGCACATGATCATCGAGCACAAAGTCGTCATCGCTGACGTCAAGCTGGTTGCTGACTTCCCAAGGTAGACGTTGTTTTCGGTCCTTAAAGATTGAAGTTATTGCTCCTGGGAGAAAAGGTATGACGTCCAGATAATTGTCCCGTGCAGCGGTGCCGATTCCCATTCTCTAGGCTTCTCCTTGGACTGGAGAACACATCTCTGCGCCCCTTGGTCCTCTTGCACGTGGAAGCCATGTTTGAGAACGCCACCTGCTGTCTCCTGTCCTGCACATGCTGGAAGCGGACCAGCTGTCCGAAGGGCTCGTGTGCCCTGGGCCGCACTGCACGCGGCGTGGGCACTGGCCCTCCAGCGGGCGGCGTTCACTGTGCGTGTGAGGCCCTGGGCCTGCTCTGAGCCCCTCCTCCCAGAAGGCCCTTGGCACCGGGCATCCTTGACACCTTTCCAGCCAAAAGGGTGATGTCCAGAGAGCTCGCCACTTAAGTGTTGCAATGAGTCTTAAACCCCCAAAACAAAACCAGCCATTCAGCAGGCCAAGAGGGCTGAGGGTGGACAGCTGCTGAGGTGATGGCTCGGGCAGGAGAGGAAGAGGGTGAGCAGGAGGAGAGGGAGAGGGGAGCGGCTAAGGAACTGCTGCCACTGGGCATGTGTGAGGCGAGGAGCCTGACCCTGCAGCCGGGGCACGTGAGCTAGACTCCCACGTGCGAGCCTCTGCCTTCGGATGGCTGGTACCAGCAGACACATGACATGGGCAGCTTTTCTCTTCCCTCGAAGTGGTTGACCACGAGCAACGCCTTCTCCTGAGCGGCTGGCCTGGAGCAGTGACGCTCATGTCTCCATTGGCTGGACCTTGATAAGATTTTCCTTAGCCGTGGCATCCTGGTAGGTGCTGGCTTTATACAGTTGCTGAGAGTATACATTTGACCATCCCATTTCAACATGTCCTGTCCTATTTCCCTGAAACAGTAGCCCGGACACTGCAATATCCCTGCACCTCCCAGGACACATCGCTCCTAGCTAGCCACCCTTCCTCCTGGGGCCACATCGCTCCTAGCTAGCCACCCTTCCTCCTGGGGGCCACATCGCTCCTAGCTAGCCACCCTTCCTCCTGGGGGCCACATCGCTCCTAGCTAGCCACCCTTCCTCCTGGGGGGCACATCGCTCCTAGCTAGCCACCCTTCTTCCTGGGGACACATCGCTCCTAGCTAGCCACCCTTCCTCCTGGGGACACATCGCTCCTAGCTAGCCACCCTTCCTCCTGGGGGCACATCACTCCTAGCTAGCCACCCTTCCTCCTGGGGGGGGGACACATCGCTCCTAGCTAGCCACCCTTCCTCCTGGGGGGCACATCCCTCCTAGCTAGCCACCCTTCCTCCTGGGGGGCACATCCCTCCTAGCTAGCCACCCTTCCTCCTGGGGACACATCCCTCCTAGCTAGCCACCCTTCCTCCTGGGGACACATCGCTCCTAGCTAGCCACCCTTCCTCCTGGGGGGGGCCACATCGATCCTAGCTAGCCACCCTTCCTCCTGGGGGCACATCCCTCCTAGCTAGCCACCCTTCCTCCTGGGGGGCACATCCCTCCTAGCTAGCCACCCTTCCTCCTGGGGGCACATCGCTCCTAGCTAGCCACCCTTCCTCCTGGGGGGCACATCGCTCCTAGCTAGCCACCCTTCCTCCTGGGGGCACATCGCTCCTAGCTAGTCACCCTTCCTCCTGGGGGCACATCGCTCCTAGCTAGCCACCCTTCCTCCTGGGGACACATCCCTCCTAGCTAGCCACCCTTCTTCCTGGGGCCACATCGCTCCTAGCTAGCCACCCTTCCTCCTGGGGGCACATCGCTCCTAGCTAGCCACCCTTCCTCCTGGGGACACATCCCTCCTAGCTAGCCACCCTTCCTCCTGGGGGGCACATCCCTCCTAGCTAGCCACCCTTCCTCCTGGGGACACATCCCTCCTAGCTAGCCACCCTTCCTCCTGGGGACACATCGCTCCTAGCTAGCCACCCTTCCTCCTGGGGGGGGGCCACATCGCTCCTAGCTAGCCACCCTTCCTCCTGGGGGCACATCCCTCCTAGCTAGCCACCCTTCCTCCTGGGGGGCACATCCCTCCTAGCTAGCCACCCTTCCTCCTGGGGGCACATCGCTCCTAGCTAGCCACCCTTCCTACTGGGGGGCACATCCCTCCTAGCTAGCCACCCTTCCTCCTGGGGGGCACATCCCTCCTAGCTAGCCACCCTTCCTCCTGGGGGCACATCGCTCCTAGCTAGCCACCCTTCCTCCTGGGGGCACATCGCTCCTAGCTAGCCACCCTTCCTCCTGGGGGCACATCGCTCCTAGCTAGCCACCCTTCCTCCTGGGGGCACATCGCTCCTAGCTAGCCACCCTTCTTCCTGGGGCCACATCGCTCCTAGCTAGCCACCCTTCCTCCTGGGGGCACATCACTCCTAGCTAGCTACCCTTCCTCCTGGGGGCACATCGCTCCTAGCTAGCCACCCTTCCTCCTGGGGGGGGGCACATCGCTCCTAGCTAGCCACCCTTCCTCTGGGGGGGGGCACATCGCTCCTAGCTAGCCACCCTTCCTCCTGGGGGCACATCGCTCCTAGCTAGCCACCCTTCCTCCTGGGGGGGGCACATCGCTCCTAGCTAGCCACCCTTCTTCCTGGGGCCACATCGCTCCTAGCTAGCCACCCTTCCTCCTGGGGGCACATCGCTCCTAGCTAGCCACCCTTCCTCCTGGGGGGCACATCCCTCCTAGCTAGCCACCCTTCCTCCTGGGGGGCACATCCCTCCTAGCTAGCCACCCTTCCTCCTGGGGGCACATCCCTCCTAGCTAGCCACCCTTCCTCCTGGGGGCACATCGCTCCTAGCTAGCCACCCTTCCTCCTGGGGGGGGGCACATCGCTCCTAGCTAGCCACCCTTCCTCCTGGGGGGGGGCACATCGCTCCTAGCTAGCCACCCTTCCTCCTGGGGCCACATCGCTCCTAGCTAGCCACCCTTCTTCCTGGGGACACATCCCTCCTAGCTAGCCACCCTTCCTCCTGGGGACACATCGCTCCTAGCTAGCCACCCTTCTTCCTGGGGCCACATCGCTCCTAGCTAGCCACCCTTCCTCCTGGGGGCACATCGCTCCTAGCTAGCCACCCTTCCTCCTGGGGGGCACATCCCTCCTAGCTAGCCACCCTTCCTCCTGGGGGGCACATCCCTCCTAGCTAGCCACCCTTCCTCCTGGGGGGCACATCGCTCCTAGCTAGCCACCCTTCCTCCTGGGGGGCACATCGCTCCTAGCTAGCCACCCTTCCTCCTGGGGCCACATCGCTCCTAGCTAGCCACCCTTCCTCCTGGGGGCACATCGCTCCTAGCTAGCCACCCTTCTTCCTGGGGCCACATCGCTCCTAGCTAGCCACCCTTCTTCCTGGGGCCACATCGCTCCTAGCTAGCCACCCTTCCTCCTGGGGGGGGGCACATCGCTCCTAGCTAGCCACCCTTCCTCCTGGGGGCACATCACTCCTAGCTAGCCACCCTTCCTCCTGGGGACACATCCCTCCTAGCTAGCCACCCTTCCTCCTGGGGACACATCGCTCCTAGCTAGCCACCCTTCCTCCTGGGGGGGGCCACATCGCTCCTAGCTAGCCACCCTTCCTCCTGGGGGGCACATCCCTCCTAGCTAGCCACCCTTCCTCCTGGGGGGCACATCCCTCCTAGCTAGCCACCCTTCCTCCTGGGGGCACATCGCTCCTAGCTAGCCACCCTTCCTCCTGGGGGCACATCGCTCCTAGCTAGCCACCCTTCCTCCTGGGGCACATCGCTCCTAGCTAGCCACCCTTCTTCCTGGGGCCACATCGCTCCTAGCTAGCCACCCTTCCTCCTGGGGGCACATCGCTCCTAGCTAGCCACCCTTCTTCCTGGGGCCACATCGCTCCTAGCTAGCCACCCTTCCTCCTGGGGGCACATCGCTCCTAGCTAGCCACCCTTCCTCCTGGGGGGCACATCCCTCCTAGCTAGCCACCCTTCCTCCTGGGGGGCACATCCCTCCTAGCTAGCCACCCTTCCTCCTGGGGGGCACATCCCTCCTAGCTAGCCACCCTTCCTCCTGGGGGCACATCGCTCCTAGCTAGCCACCCTTCCTCCTGGGGGGCACATCCCTCCTAGCTAGCCACCCTTCCTCCTGGGGGCACATCGCTCCTAGCTAGCCACCCTTCCTCCTGGGGGCACATCGCTCCTAGCTAGCCACCCTTCCTCCTGGGGGCACATCGCTCCTAGCTAGCCACCCTTCCTCCTGGGGGCACATCGCTCCTAGCTAGCCACCCTTCCTCCTGGGGGCACATCGCTCCTAGCTAGCCACCCTTCTTCCTGGGGCCACATCGCTCCTAGCTAGCCACCCTTCCTCCTGGGGGCACATCGCTCCTAGCTAGCCACCCTTCCTCCTGGGGGCACATCGCTCCTAGCTAGCCACCCTTCCTCCTGGGGGCACATCGCTCCTAGCTAGCCACCCTTCTTCCTGATGCCACATCGCTCCTAGCTAGCCACCCTTCCTCCTGGGGGCACATCGCTCCTAGCTAGCCACCCTTCCTCCTGGGGGCACATCGCTCCTAGCTAGCCACCCTTCCTCCTGGGGGCACATCGCTCCTAGCTAGCCACCCTTCCTCCTGGGGGCACATCGCTCCTAGCTAGCCACCCTTCTTCCTGGGGCCACATCGCTCCTAGCTAGCCACCCTTCCTCCTGGGGGGGGGCACCTCGCTCCTAGCTAGCCACCCTTCCTCCTGGGGGGGGGCACATCGCTCCTAGCTAGCCACCCTTCCTCCTGGGGGCACATCGCTCCTAGCTAGCCACCCTTCCTCTTGGGGGGGGGCACATCGCTCCTAGCTAGCCACCCTTCCTCCTGGGGGGGGGCACATCGCTCCTAGCTAGCCACCCTTCCTCCTGGGGGCACATCGCTCCTAGCTAGCCACCCTTCCTCCTGGGGGCACATCGCTCCTAGCTAGCCACCCTTCCTCCTGGGGGCACATCGCTCCTAGCTAGCCACCCTTCCTCCTGGGGCCACATCGCTCCTAGCTAGCCACCCTTCTTCCTGGGGCCACATCGCTCCTAGCTAGCCACCCTTCCTCCTGGGGGCACATCGCTCCTAGCTAGCCACCCTTCCTCCTGGGGGCACATCGCTCCTAGCTAGCCACCCTTCCTCCTGGGGGGCACATCGCTCCTAGCTAGCCACCCTTCCTCCTGGGGGCACATCGCTCCTAGCTAGCCATCCTTCCTCCTGCCTGGGGGCACATCGCTCCTAGCTAGCCACCTTTCCTCCTGGGGGCTCAGAGAGCAGAGGCTGTGGACCCAGGCCGTCTCACGCCCAGTGCACACTTGGTGACTTCCTCACACGTGGCCTCCAGCAAGCCACTTTACCCCATAAACGTGGGCTTCCTCATCCACAGACTGGAGGTGCCCCAGGCTCCCAGGGTGCGAGTTGGGTGAAACGGTACATACAACCCCTGCTCCATTACTGTTGGCCGCAGCCCTGTGTGGGCAGGACAGTCCTGATCTACTAGGTCTGAGGGCTCAGAAGTCAGTAATTACATGTTGGGGTCAATCACCCTGAAAAGGCAGTTATGTAATGAAATGGACGTTTTAATCAAAAAGAAAAGATGCACGTCTGATGTGCTTTATACAGAACGTGTGGTTAGCATGTGCTTTAGACTGGGAAACGGGATCCTCCTAATTCTGCGGTATACTCACTCGCAGGAAGCTAGATGTGGGCCATTCCACCTGACCGGGAATGTACATGAGTGCACTCTGCCCCCGGCACTACCTTCCAGTGTATCCAGTCTCTTTTCGGGGATGCCTCCCACGTAGGGAAGCTGAAAGTTCTCCAGAACAGTACAGGCGCTGACTGTGTGCTCACAGTAGCTGGAGGGCTGTTTGGGCCAATCAGACTGGGAGGATTTGGAGTCCTCGTTGGCGTAGACACGGAGACATTTGGGCCAGGGGCCAGGCGCTCCGCATAAGTCAGTCTCCCCTCTGTCTTGGTGGGGTGGCCTTTCCGTGTCCATCAGAGACTGCACAGCCCTGTGGGGCGACAGACCAGGGGGAGCCGTCCTGCCAGGCGGCGGCAGGCTCCAGCTCCACAGCCTGACACCGGCGCCCCCCGGGCCTCCCCGCGCCGGAACCGAGTGGTGTCAACATCCGGCATCCCTCAGCCAGGCTGTCTGCATGGACTGAAGTCCCCCCTTAACTGCATCCCAGACTGGGGGTTCCTGTTGACACTGTCAGCTATAGTCAGCCTTTCCACGGCCCTTCTCCCCGTGACGAGACCACATCCTTGGTGCCATCGGGTAAACAAGATGACGATTGCCGGGACCAATCTCATTAGACTGATGGACAGGTGCCAGCCTGCCGAGTCCTGTCTTCTTGTCCCGCGTCACCAGGTGTGCGGGTCTGGGCGTCAGGCTCCGTGGCAGGTGTGGCCTGCGTGCTGCTCGGTGGATGCGAGGACGCAGAGCCTCCCTGTCTGCAAAGGCGTCTGCCCCGCAGCAGACGCGCACAACTCTGTCGGAACCTTTGTCCTGCTCCGTGCACACGATCTAGGTGACTCCTCCTCGCGCTACTACGACCTCTGTTACTTCGATGTGTGAGATAAGCACCCAGCGTTCAATTTGCTGGGACGTGTGTCCATTTTACATTCATATAAATTTAGATGTGATTTCAGAGAATCTTCATTATCACACAAAATAATTCATTTTAACTTTCCCGTATGTCTATTTATTGAATTTGAGGATAGTCAAGTTGAATCATTTCCGTGCCTTTACATGATAATTTCATTTTATTAAATATTTATTTCATACTTCGAAATGCTCTGCTACCTTTCTATTTATAAATTCTGTAGCAGTGTTCAGTCACCCTTCGATGTGTTGCTTTGTGATGATTAAATGTTATTATAAAATTCTGTCATTCTAAAGAAAGTACTGTATTGAGTCTTCTCTTTTTTATTTTTTCATTGTTCCAAGATACATTTTGTATTGGAGGAAGAGGTTCTCGGAGCAGCCTGTCACAGACTTCTGCAGTGTGATAAGAATCAACTCCACGGCCCCCCCAGGTAAGCGGACGAGCGTCGTGCCTGCCACCTTGTCCCAGAATTCAGAAATGAAAGGAGCCATCCCACCTTCTCAAATCAGAATTCTCTCTCGTGGCTAAAATTAAATGGCTGTGTTGACGTTGCCTCAGTTCAATCAAGTTAAAAGAAACATATATACCAGAAGAGAGATTTATATTTTTTAAATAAGTTTTTATTGATTTTTTAGAGAGAGGGCAAGGGAGACAGACATAAACATCAATGTGAGAGCCCGGGCTGGTTTAGCTCAGCAGTTAGAGCGTCGGCCTGCAGACCAGAGTCACAGGTTCAATTCCGGCCAAGTGCTCATACCTCGGTTGCAGTTCAGTCCTCGGCCCTGATCAGGGCATGTGGGGGCAACCAGTTGATGTGTCCCTCTCACATCAATGTTTCTCTCTCTCTCTCTCTCCCTCCCACTCTATCTGAAGATAAGTGGAAGAATATCCTCGGGTGAGGATTAAAAAAATAAAATAAAATCGATGTGAGAGAGAAACATTGATCGCCTGCCTCCTGCACACCCCGTGCTGGTGATTGAGCCTGCCACCCGGGCGTGTGCCCTGGCCAGGAATGGAACCAGGACCTCTCGGTCCATGGGAGGACGCTCCATCCACTGAGCCCCACTGGCCAGGCCAGAACAGAGATCATAATAGACGCAGATACAGATATCTCTATCTACCTCTGTGTTTGTCTGTCTGTCTGTTTGTTTGTTTGTTTTAAGGAATAAGTCCTGGAAGAAATGGTAAATATTACTTCTCGTTTATTTGCCTAATCTCTCCACAGAAGAACAGGACCATTATTTTTTGTTATGCGACGTTTTGCCAGAAGACAGAGTGCTTAGGGAGGAGCTTCAGAGACGGAAACTGGTAAGAGCCGTTTGAAAGGCCAGTGACCTGGAAATATGTGCAGAAATCACTGTGGTCGGGGCCGTTCTTTTTCTGTCGCTGTTGTTACTTCTTATCCTGGAGACTTTCCAACATACACAAACGAGAAGACCATACATCAAGGTCTTGAAACAGAAAAAAGTCTACGCGTGATTGCAGATGAAAGCTTCCCTGTTAAAAATGCAGAGGGAATTTTTGGCTTCGCTTCTCTTCCTGGATCATCTCTGAAATAACAACAAAGCTGGCACGTGTAAGTGTAATTTTAGCTGCTGACACATGCCAGGGTCCAGTGTCGCGGAAAAGTGCCGTCGGCTGCAATCGAGCTGAATCGATTCACGCTCCCCCCGGCTCGGGACGGCTCCCTCGGCTCCGTCCGCGGGGCGAGGTTCGCACGCGGCCAGATTCGCAGTAGCCTTTCTCCTCCTCAGCCCCGTCGTGTCGGCTGGTTTTAAAATCTCAGCATGCCTTCTTTTAGCAAAAGGTAACAGCGTATACAAGTGTTAAAATGTTCGTAAGTTGAACAGAAATTAATTTTTCCGTTATTGATTTTGTTTAAAAGTGTGGCTCTTCATCACCATTTGTGGTTGGCCGCAGTTACTACCTGAAACTGACTCACTCTTCCGGCAGGGTTACTTGTCAGTGTTCCTTGGCTCTTTGGACTCGGCTAGATAGATCATGAGACAGAGCTGTGATTTCACTGTTCCTGCTAAATCCTCAAGAGATCTCAGGAAAATAAATCCTATCAACCATAATCACGTGATCTGAGAAGGTCCCCTGAGGCACGTTGCATACTGTAAACATCGCCTGTGGTTACTCTCCCGGGAAGAGAGATGATGGTGATGGACACGATTCCTACGTGAGACTGACAGGCTTCCCGTTCCCCACCAGAGAAGTGCTGCCTCCCTGGGCGTCTCTCCTCCTCTCGTCCTGCCCGAAAACCTGCGAAAGAGGGGTGACTTCACTCATCGTTTATGGGCTGTGTTTAATTGTACTTGTTCATAGCTTTTATTTCCATCTTGCTCACCGTGGCCTTAATCAAGAATGACAAGACTGTCTCAACCCTAAACCCAAGGAGTTCTTTGTAAGAACCCAACCCCTACTACTTCAGTGCTGTTACCCAGTACCCAGAGTCTTGACTGTGTGTTTACAGGTAGACGGAAGGCCCTAGAAATAGCTACATCCGTAAGTTTAGATGACCTTCCATGTTCTGACCAGATCCCACCTGCGGGTCGTTCCCTCCCATCACCAAGCGATTCCCAGCATCAACGGGGTGTCTTCCTGTTCCCACCTGTGGGGTTGTTCCCTCCCATCACCAAGCGATTCCCAGCATCAACGGGGTGTCTTCCTGTTCCCACCTGCGGGTCGTTCCCTCCCATCACCAAGCGATTCCCAACATCAACGGGGTGTCTTCCTGTTCCCACCTGCGGGTCATTCCCTCCCATCACCAAGCGATTCCCAGCATCAACGGGGTATCTTCCTGTTCCCACCTGTGGGGTTGTTCCCTCCCATCACCAAGCGATTCCCAGCATCAACGGGGTGTCTTCCTGTTCCCACCTGTGGGGTTGTTCCCTCCCATCACCAAGCGATTCCCAACATCAACGGGGTGTCTTCCTGTTCCCACCTGCGGGTCGTTCCCTCCCATCACCAAGCGATTCCCAGCATCAACGGGGTGTCTTCCTGTTCCCACCTGCGGGTCGTTCCCTCCCATCACCACGCGATTCCCAGCATCAATGGGGTGTCCTCCAGTTCAGCTCGCTTCGGACATGTCTTCCCGGAGCATCAGACCCCCAGGGTGAGGCGCAATCCCACAAGACTGCCCCTCGGCAGATGCCACGCACAAGTCCCGGTGATCTCCTCTGCTTCTGACCCACTGGCTAAAATCAGAGGTTCTCACGACCCCCTCCTTGGCTCCGATTAATTTGCTAGAGTGGCTCCCAGAACTGAGGAAACCCGCTGACTAACCAGATCACAGTGTGTGGTGAAGACACGAAAGCATTTGAATGAACGCAGCCGGATGGAGAGTCGGGGGAGGGCCGCGCACAGGAGTCTGGAGTCCGGCCCGGGCGGCAGCATGTGGGTGCCTTCTGGTTCATCAGCCCGGAAGCTCTCGAACCCTGCCCTGCGGGGTCTTTACGGAGGCTTCAGCATGATGGACTCGATCATCGGCCATTGGTGACAACTCAGCCCCCAGCCCCTCTCCCCTGCTGGAGGCGGGTCGACTCCAGGGCCACCGTCCATTACCTAGGCGCCTCCCGGTTCCTGCAGCGTCGCAGCGAAGACGCCTGTGTCGCTCTCAACACCTAGGGGATCCCCAGGGTTTCAGGAGCCGCGTGCCAGGAACAGAGGCCAAGGCCAAATGTGTGCTTATTATGAATCACCTTTTGCCAGCCTTACAGTCTGAAAAAGTGATAGATGTGATGAAAGAGAGTTTTATGGCAGCTTAAAAGAAGCAAATGTGACAGAATCCCACTCGATTCATTGACTTCCTGCTTCACCGGCTCAGAGGGAGAGGTCGGGCTGCTGCGCATCACGGAGGCGCGTGCAGCCACAGCCACGGGCCAGCACGGTGCCTCCGTCCCCGAGGTGGGGATCATGCTGGAACCTCTCAGCGCTGTGAAGGTTGAAGAAATGCGTCGCGCCTAGAACAGACTGCGCCACACGGAAGCGCTGCATACGTGCCGCAGCGACAATGAGCACGTGCTCTCCTCCAGGGAGGGTCCGGGGGTCGGGAGTTGTAGGCGGGAGGAGAAGTGCAGGCGGGTCTAGATTGACGAGAATGTCCTGAGACCCTCTGAGTTAAGGCGCAGTGGTGAGAGCGAGGGGTCAGGAATGGTAACAGGGCTGCTCCGATCGCCACATGCCAGTGCCCGTCAGCTCCCAGCCCAGATCCCCACGTGCCGGTGCCCGTCAGCACCCAGACCAGATCCCCACGTGCCGGTGCCCGTCAGCTCCAAGACCAGATCCCCACGTGCCGGTGCCCATCAGCACCCAGACCAGATCCCCACGTGCCGGTGCCCGTCAGCTCCAAGACCAGATCCCCACGTGCCGGTGCCCGTCAGCACCCAGACCAGATCCCCACGTGCCGGTGCCCGTCAGCTCCAAGACCAGATCCCCACGTGCCGGTGCCCGTCAGCTCCAAGACCAGATCCCCACGTGCCGGTGCCCGTCAGCTCCAAGACCAGATCCCCACGTGCCGGTGCCCGTCAGCTCCAAGACCAGATCCCCACGTGCCGGTGCCCGTCAGCTCCAAGACCAGATCCCCACGTGCCGGTGCCCGTCAGCTCCAAGACCAGATCCCCACGTGCCGGTGCCCATCAGCACCCAGACCAGATCCCCACGTGCCGGTGCCCGTCAGCCCCCAGACCAGATCCCCACGTGCCGGTGCCCGTCAGCTCCCAGACCAGATCCCCACGTGCCGCGCGCCCGTCAGCTCCCAGCCCAGATCCCCACGTGCCGGCGCCCGTCAGCTCCCAGCCCAGATCCCCACGTGCCGGCGCCCGTCAGCTCCCAGCCCAGATCCCCACGTGCCGGTGCCCGTCAGCTCCCAGCCCAGATCCCCACGTGCCGGTGCCCGTCAGCTCCCAGCCCAGATCCCCACGTGCCAGTGCCCATCAGCTCCCAGACCAGATCCCCACGTGCCGGTGCCCGTCAGCTCCGAGACCAGATCCCCACGTGCCAGCGCCCGTCAGCTCCCAGCCCAGATCCCCACGTGCCGCGCGCCCGTCAGCTCTGAGACGGCGGGCACGGTGCCTTCTCCTTGCGGCCCTGCTGCAGGCAGCTGAGGTGGGTGGCGCCCAGGGCCCGGTCCTCCCCTGCTGGCCTGCGGCCACGAGCCGTTTCTCAGAAGGCTTCCAGCTAGATTTTTGTTTGTCGAACAGCGTGTTCTCCGTGTACTGGGGACAGTCCACTTTTGTCTCTTCTGAGCCCTGTTCATCCAGCGTCGACTTCAACCTCGTCCTGAAGGGTGGGCTGGGTGTTTCTACGGAGCCTTAGAGTCGAGCTCCCGGTGTGAACCGGGGCAGTAAGGCAGCGAGGTGACACCCTCGGTCCCTGGCTGCACTTCCCGTTCCGCACTGAGAAGCCCAGTTTCCCGCCGTCTGCCCAGAGATGTGGCAGTCAGAGCGCAGTAGCAAGATGTAACTTTTAATTAAATGGGGATGAAGGGAAACATCCATTAAGCTGCATGGAGGTTTTTTTTTTTTAATCACTATTATGTCAGCCTGAGAGGTCATTTATGATAACTATACATATTTTATGAAAATTTTAACCTACTTGGCAATTCGATCCTCTGGAGAGGAAGCCTGTGTCTTTGTTTCTAATGCTACTTTATACAGCCCGCCTCCCCTGACGCAGAACAGGAACAGAGTGAAACTACATCTCTCTCTGAGATTGTCGTCCTCACGCCGCTTTCTCTGACTGCGGTGGCTTCCAGGGAGGGACCAGACTGTCTTCTGTCAGTGACTGCAAAGTAAAGTCATTTTACATTCCGACTGTTCTTCCTAATTCCTGGCTTCGCGCGCAGGTTCTCTGATTGCATCCAGCACGACTTTTCCGAACAGAAGGTGCTGCTTCCCGTCAAAGGCAACGTTACTGTTAGCAATGCAGCAGACGTCGGGTGAGCCAGAGTGCCACCGAACGAGGTTTACCGTGCGATCCGTTCATGTTCTCATTTAGGAACCGAACGGACACCCAATCTGAGCCGATACTAGACTGAATCCTGAGGTTTGCCGCTTGGAACGCCAACAGAATTTAAATTTTAGGGGACATTTTGATGTGCATTGGTCCCTGAGATCGGAAAGGCACTACCATCACCTCTGCTCAGACAGGAAAGCAGGGTCGAAGCGGTCAGGAGGCACGCTCGAGGCCGTGCTGTGGCCTGTTAAACGGGAGGGGAGCAGCTCGAACTCTCCTCCAGCCCAGACCCAGCCTCTTTCCAGCGGGGCCAGGGCCCTTCGTCAAATCTCATCTCCTGTAAGCAGATG